ACTCTCTCTATATATATATATATATATATATATATATATGAATATACATACATATATATTATTCATATATATAGATGTATATAAATAAGTATATATATATATATATAAACTCTATGACGTAGATATCCACTGCATGCTAGAAGAGCTGCACTACATGCTGCCAGCCGTTTGTTCATTATAGTATAGGGTTTAGGGTTTAGGGTTTAGGGTTTGGTTACTCGTTTTTCTTTGTTAGCCCAAGCATTTTTAGCGGTTTTATCTGTAGAGAGTCTGCCTCCCTGTATATCTCTGAGACAATCAATAGAACTTAAAAGAGTTTTCTCTTCTTCTTTGTCAAAGCTCCAGATACTCACTCTACCTGCGTCGCCGCCAACCCCTAATAAACCTTTTGCTTTTGAGAACGCTAAACATAAAACACCGCCTGTCTGCATCAACACTTCAGGCGATCCCCCACGACCACGCCGACCTAAGATGTCCCATACCTGTCCACAAACCCTAAACCCTAAACCCTAAACCCTAAACCCTAAACCCTAAACCCTAAACCCTAAACCCTAAACAATGAACAATGAATAATGGACAATCAACAATAAACAATATATATATATATATGTATATATTGTTTAATTCTCACTCTAACGGGTTTATCCGGGCTTATACATACATACAAATTAATATATATTAATATATGTATATAATTATATACAATTATAAATTTATATATATTTATATTTATGTATATAATTGTTTATATATTTATATATCTTACTCTAACAGTTTTATCCCAGCTGCCTGTAGCAAGAATCCCCTGCTTATCAGGATGAGGATGAAACTGCAGCGAGACAACAGGTGCTTCATGAGCAGCCAGCTCTTCTAAGAGTTTAGCTGTTCGTACACTCCAAACAAAAACAGAAAAACAAACGCCTTGAGCCCCCGCTGCTAATATCTCTCCTCCGCTGTCTATGCTTATACACCTGAACTGCAAACCGCTTTCATAGCCGGCGTCCCCAAACCCCACAGCTGCCTGCGAAGAACTTCCTGCTGTATAAACCCTAAACAAATAAACAAATAAAAAAGTAAACAAATAAACAAATAAAAAAGTAAACAAATAAACAAATCTAACTAAAAAAAGATATTATATTCAGCTCAATACATAAAACTAGAAAAGGATGCACGCAGACACACAGATAGATATTTAATAATTAACTTATAATAATAATAAATGCTGCAGCACGGCACCGTACGTAATAGCAGCAGCACTAGCAACAGCAACAGCAGCACAAGCAGCAATGGCAGCACAAGCAGCAGCAGCAGCACAAGCAGCAACAGCAGCACGAGCACCAGCAGCAACACAAGCAGCACCAGCAGCAACAGCAACACAAGCACCAGCAGCACAAGCAGCATCAGCAGCAGCATCAGCAGCAACAGCAGCAGCAGCAGGAGCAGGAGGATTACCTGAAGGGTTTGAGCCTGATAAGATCGAAGCCCTTAACAGTGCCGTCTAGTGAAGCAGAGAATAATGCATTTCCTGTTGGTGAGAAGCAAATAGCGGAGACTGTTGCTGCATGCGCAGCAAATGTTTTAAGACAGAAGCCGCTGTCCGCATCCCACACCTTTATAAAACCATCGATGCTGCCTGTCGCAATCACTGCTTTATTACTGCCCAAGCCTAAAGCTGTCTGGGGGCCCCCGAGGGGGCCTACAAACCCTGTTGCTAGCTGCTGCTGTGCTGCTCCTCCTGATGCTGCTGCAGCACCCACCCTGTTTGCTGCTGCTGCTGCTGCATCTGCTGCAGGAGAGAAACCAACGCAGCTCAAACCCTGTCTGCTGCTCTGCTGTCTTAATACATATGTTTCGCTCCGCCACTCCCATACAATAATAATGCTGTTTGCTGCTGCTGCTGCAGCAATCCACTCCCCGTCGAAGGATAAGCAAATGCTGTCTAAAGAAGCAATTCCTAGCGAAAGTTTAACAATAACAAACAAATCAGGCAGAGAATATAACTGAAAGGAACCACCGCTAAACCCTATTAATAAATACTGAGGGGGCGCCCCTTGAGGTCCCCTATCATCTTTATTATCTTTATTAAACCGAGTGTATCTATAGTATGGAGATATATTTGTTGCTGCATGCGCTACACGCTGTCCTGCCGGCTGATTGCAGAAAGATTTATGTTCAAGCCTCCATACACCTTTAGAATAGTCAATAAACTCATCTGCTGGTGCTGCTGAGGTGTACGTACACCCTGCAGCAGCAGCAGCAGCTGCTGCTGCTGCTGCTGCAGCAGCAGCAGCAGATCCATTATCACCTCGACGCTTTGCCTCACGCCGCTGCTGAAAGTATGAAGGATTTATAGGGCGTGCAGCGCTCTTCATTGCTGCTGCTGCTGCTGCTGCTGCTGCTGCCTCTGGGTTGGCCTGATCTTCATCAGCTGCTGCTGCTGCTGCTGCTGCTGCTGCTTCTTCTGCTTCTGCTAGGGGCTTCCAGACCCATACAATGATGCAGCCTTCTCTATTAACAGAGTATACGCGAGTTAAACAAGCAGAAAAACAAACAAACTTTACTTCATGTCGGTGAGATAAAAACGCAGAAGGAGTAAATGCTGCATCAACAGCATCTCTGTAAGCCTGTTCTGCTGCTTCTCTGCTGCCGCTGCTGCTGCTGCTGCCGCTGCTGCTGCTGCTGCTGTTGCTGCCCGTTGCTGCTGCTGCATCTAGTTGAGCTGTACGTACACCCCATTTGTTGCGGGCTCTCCACAGCCGCACAGTACAGTCCTTTCCTCCTGAAAGAAGATGAAGAGAGTCAGGGCTCCAGCATAAACAATTTATTTGTTGTTGATGCAAAACAAAAGAATGCAGCAGTTCAAGCTGATATCCTCTGCATGCATGCGGAGACCTCCAAATCTGAAGAAACAAAACAACAAAAAAGACATAAATATATATATATATATATTTATTTATTTATAATATATATGTAGATATGTATGTATATGTATATATAACGAGCTGCCTATACACCCCAACAATTATAATGCTGCAAATACATTCATTGCAAGAAGGGTAGTGAGAGAGAAAAGAAGAGGAGACGCTTCAACAGAGAGAGAAGATTAAACAATCAAACAGATAAATAAATAAATAAATAAATAAACAGATAAATAAATAAATAAATAAATAAATAAATAAATAAATAAGCCAGCTGTTGTGCATATACACCCCATATGCATTTACATCTCTACGCCTTCAAATGAAAAAAATTCATTTAAATAAAAATAAATAAAAAGAGAGACAGAAAAAGACAGAAAGAGAAATAAAAAGAAGGATATATATATATATATATATACATATATATATATATATACATATATACATATATATATAGATATATATAGATATATATAGATATATATATATATATATAAAGAAAAAGAGAAGCACCTGAATTGCTCTTCCGCATGCAACAGCAAAGAGAGTATCATCTGGAGAAAAAGCAGCAGCAGCGACGAAATGAATATCTTTTTCAGCTTTTGTTCTGAGCCTTGCTGACGAAGTATTGCTGCGAAACGAGATATAATTTAAGACAGTTCCTTTAGAAGTATTTATCACGAGGCCTCTCCCATGAACATCAATTGAAATCGCTAATAAACCATCAGAAGAAATACAGTAGTGCGCAATGTCTACTCGAGCTTCAAAAGGATATGTAAACACGCGGCTGCTTTCAGGTGTATCGACACCTGAAATATTTTCAGCATTTCCTTGCGTATCAAACGCATTACGTGCACCCCCACCGCTGCTGCTGCTGCTGCTGCTGCTGCTGTTGCTGCTGCTGCTGCTGCTGCTTGAACGAATAGGAGTACTGTCTAAAGTATAGCGACAAACCCTGTTGCTGCTGGGGGCATATAAACATCTTCCAGGTCTATCAAAAGAAAGATTTGCACGTCCACAGCTATAAGGAGCCCCCAGAAGATTGCTGAACTTATAGTTAAACATCTTCACAAACCCTAAACCCTAAACCCTAAACCCCAAACCCTAAACTAGACCGCGCAGCGGTCTCATCCGCCTCCAGCAAGAACAGCGTAGATGTGCTTCGCCTTCTCTTTATTTTATATTCTTCTATTTAAAAATAAATTAAAATAATATAAAATTTATACGGGGAAATACAAATAAAAGAAAAGAAGATCTCTTAAACAAACCCTTGTGGGGTATCTATGCATGCATGCATGCATGCATGCATGCGCTGTATGTACACCTGAAACTTCTTCGGCGTTTAAAATTGATTGATTTATTTTTTATTTATTAAATAAAAGAAGATTATGAGAAGATATTGAACAATATTCATTGAAAATAACGGCAGACTCTGTTGGGGCTGCATGCGCTCAGCTGCTGCTAGCGGCACAGCAAGCCGAGCGTATGTATACATATAATTAAAAATTTTTCTCTTTAATCTTTTTAAAAGAATAAAACAGAATAAAATAAATTAATTTTATTAATTTATTTTATATTTGCATGCAGAATATCTACAGAGGTCTTTTGAACAGCAACAGATAGCAGCTACTCCTCCACCTGTTTATTTCTACGAGTTTTGTTTGTTTAGGCGAGAGTATATCTTTATTAAATATCTTTTTCTTTGCTTCGATTGCATTATTAATAAATGAAGAAAAATGCATTTAATAAAGTTTCATTTGCATGCGTTATAATAAATAAAAATATATAGAAAAAATAAAAATATATATATACATATCTATATTTTATATATATATATGTATACCAAATAAAAATATATATATATATCTATATTATATATATATATGTATACCTTTTCATACTATACACGATATTTTCTTAGTTTTGTTTGCTGCGTTAAGACCGCAGCTTTTTTTTGTTTGTTTTTCTTCGTTTTGTTTTAATTTAAACTCCCCCTCCATTTCTATGCACCACTTCCACTATGAAACCTGTCTATAGAAAGTCTACTACATATATATATATATATATATTATATATATAAAACATTAATTATAAATATATAATTAATGTACTACATAATATATATTATATATACACACTGGAAATACACATATAATTCAGCATATATATATATATATACATTTATATATATATATATATATATATATATAAGCACCATACATAGACTATAGATAAAAAT